CCAATCTTCTCTCACGTTACCATAGTTACCAATCATGTCTCATGGGTGGCTGAAGGGATCTTTTCCTGTATAAATCCCCCCCCCCCCCCCCCCCCCCCCCCAATATTCGAGCAAGAAAGTCCAACCTTCTTCTTCCCCTTTTGACTCGCTGTCTATTCTCCATACAATATATAGGCGTAGAAAGGGGAGGGAGGGGAGTTCGGCGAGCGCGATCGTGGGAGGAAGTACTCCCTCCCGCCGATCGCGCTTCCCCTCCTCCCTTCCCTTTCTATTTTTCCATCATTTAGTCAAATCGTGAGCCTGGGCTTCCTGTGGTTTCAACAAGAGGCCAGTCCCAGTCCACCCCAGGGTAAAATAATATGGCCAGCGGTAGTTAGCGCAGAGGCGTTTATGCGGAAGTGAAGGATCGAAGTGAAGCCAAAGGAATTCCCGGGAAGGAATAGCGAACACATTTCTAATCAGCTAAACAGCTTTTCTTGTGGCAGAGAAGGTAAGGTTAAAGTACAGATGTAAAAGATCATAAAAGTACAAATTAACTATATGCACATCAGGATGCACATCATCCTGTGTATATACATATGATGTGACATCATGTACACTGAACTACAAGCGGCTCGTGGGAGCTTGGCCATAATCTAATTAAACTGAAGTCATAAGCTTATATTATTCCAGGACATAGGCCATAAGATAATCATATGATCGATAATCATAAGGGTCCATAAGATACGTAGGAAAATATATGTGGACTCTAACTATATTCGAACCAATCTCGTGCCCAGAGTCAACAGTCTCCTCGGGTCAGCAGTGGTCGTCGCCAAGTTAGGGCCTGTTTACATGGAGGGAGGGGGACCCGGGTACCCTGGGAGGGCCAACTTTTCATACATTTCTTTACAAAGCACACTGAAGTGTTTACATGCAGAAAAGATAGCCCGCCTACCCGGGCCACCCTGTCTGCTTGCCAGGGTCACCCGCCTAGGCGGGCTATCTTTTCTGCATGTAAACGGTCAACCCGGGTCACCCTCCTAGGCGGGCTATCTCTGTTGACTTGAAAACCCGCTAAAATGGCGGAACAAGCGATAAAAACAGCAAACTCGCCACTATAGTCTTTCTTCTTGCTGCCCTGTTTGTTAGGTAGTGCTTAATAAATCGTACCGTTGCAATAAAAAAGTCCGCCAAAACATGAGCCCGCCAAAACAAGAGCCCGCCAAAAAAGATAGCTCGCCTATACAGGGCACGAAATTGCACCTGATACAGTCGCCAATGCGCCTAAGTTTTCCACATTGGCGACCAAATCCTGAAATTAGTCGCCAAATTGGCGACTACACCGACTAGAATTCTGACATCTTACCTGAAGTTTTCAGTTCTAACTTTGCCATAAAAAAGTCACACAATAGATTAAAGTTATAAAACAATATTTCTCTGGTCTTGTTTTGCTTTCATAACGAGAAATATGGGCCAAAAAACGTCAACAAAGTTTCTCTCAACTGAGTACACAAAAACGCCCTATAATGCTTTGCAAGCCATGTGGAAACCATTGAATACGTCATGTATGCCAATGGATTGTGTCTCTGGTGCTGAATTTATTGGAAAAAATTGGCGACTAACTTTTTGGAGTTGGCGACCACTTTGGAATATTTAGGAGCCAAATGGCTCCTGGAAAAAAAAGTTAATTTCGTGCCCTGCTATATGATAGCCCGCCCTAATAGCCCGCCCATGTAAAGGCGGGCTATGTTTTAGCCCGGCTGGGAGGGTGACCCTGGTACCCGGGTCACCCTCCCTCCATGTAAACAGGCCCTTAGACTCTGGGAAATGGAATGTTGAATACTAGAAATCTGGGGTTCCGGTTTGTTGTTTGTTACACGAACAGCCAATCAAAAAATTCAAGAAAAAAAGAGAAAAAATTCCATTCCCCCAGAGTCTTACCTGGCGACGACTACTGCTGACCGAGGAGACCGCTGACTCTGGGCACGACCATGGGGCACGACATTGGATTCGAACCTCCTATAATCAGCCCCTGGGGGAGAAGAATATCAATCAGGAGCTCTGGTCAGGTCTGAATAGTACTGGGTACTAGGGAAAATCAAATAGTTTGGTCTGAAATAGGGTAAGGGTTTCAAGAAGTGGGCCACACCCCCCTTCCCCCCACACACACCAAAAATGTTGAAGAGTACCATGTTAACATCAAGAAAGTGTGAGATAGTTCATGTGTCCACTTTTATTCATTCATCATGCATCTGTTACAAACTTTAGGCAAACTGCATTCATTCTTTCAAAGTGGGGAGGTTATATAAACCCACTTATGTCCAGGATTGAACACAGGTATTGTTTTTTTAAAAACTTCATATATGACTGGGTTATTTGTCATTTTCATATTACTTCATATTTGACAAAATTATGTGTGTTTTGGTGAATTTTTATAAATGAGGACACTTTGTGATGCCTATCATGAGGAATGTGCATCTCATTTGCAATCCTGGACATATCTCTATAAACCCCGAGGGGGTTAAATCCCTTATATAAGCTATATAGGTATGTGCGGCACCAAAGGCTATGGTTTTTGAGCTGTTTTGGTCTGAAATAGGGTCTGTTTTGTGCACTCTGGCCTGGAATTTGGTTTGGCTTTTAGACAAAACTATTTTTTGCCATTAACATCGGGAATTTGAATCCCTTCTCAAATGTTTGAGCAAATGGAACCCATTCCTGGGTAGCTGAGGTCATGTATTAGATACGTACTAATTTTATCGGTCTGAAATAGGGTATTGATTTTTGGAAATGATGAATGGAAAATTTCTGTTTGCTGCGTGGCACTTATACTTATAAACAAAAATATAATAAAAAGTTCTCACATGCGAGTGTTCAGTGCCATAAAAATGTGATAAGTCTGTTGAATGTCAGTTGATGTTCGTTGAAAAATGGCTTGCACCATGATGCCATTTAAAGTTCAAAGGTGTGCGCATGAGGAGCGCAGAAGCACGCGAACATCAACTGACATTCCACTGATGAAGGGCTAAGCCCAAAACGTTTGGACTTATCACATTTTTATGGCACTGAACACTCATGCGCCGCCTGCTTCTTTAAACCCTCACCCATTTTCAGACCAAGATTTGCAATTTTCTGTACCCAATTTGAGCCCTGACCATTAAAATTTTACCCTTTTCAAGCCAAAATGGCAAAAATCTATACCCTATTTCAGACAAGCAGGCAAAACATACTCAATTTGAGACCAAAATGTTCAAAATCTATACCCGTTTTCAGATCAAAACAGCTAAAAAGAAACATACCCTTTGGGGCGGCACATACCTATATATAGCTTAAACAAATTGCATGATTGCAAGGCTACTACGACAAAAGGGCAGATTGGCCGATATTTGGCCTCCTACCCAATTATCTTGTAACCAGATCTATCTCAGTCTGCTGAATTCAGGTTTTGTGGGATCTGGATTCAAGATGACACCATACCCTATATAAATAGCACCTGCTCCTTTAACTTGGTATAAGTGTTGATAATTCCTCTTGTAACATTTCCCAGATTCAAAATATCCTTTTTGTCTATATGTCAATAGGAAATACATCATAAACAAGACCACATGATATGGCTGACAGTAAAAATGAAAACAGTCCCCAAGAAAGGGTCGACGTATTATCTGGTGTACCATACAGAGAATTATCAGACCTAATGGACCAATACCAGGCAGACCGAATATGGAATGAAACACAAATAGCGTCAAATAAACTTGAACAGTTCAACACTTTTGTTTCAGAAGAAATTCTACCACGCATCTGTGAAGCAGATGGAAGGTTTGATTTTGAAGAGGTCATCCCAACTGGGAGCTTTAAAGAACATTCTGTCATAAGCCAAAAGACAAACTTCCAGAATTACATTGAACACGAGTTTGATTTCATGCTTGTGCTGCGTGACTTGGGGGCTAACTCTGAGGGTGTCACTCTAGTAGATTGTGTAATTTCGGATGAAATGAAAGACGCTTTCAAACATGTTATTGTCAAAGGTGCTACCCTTAAAAGATGGCAGGACTGTTGTGTATACCGAGGTGAACACTACCTCTTAGATGCCGACAAAATTATGCAGTCCTTTGAGAAAATTGTCAGTAAAGTCATGGATGAAATGACGGAAAGAGAAGAAGGATTTGTACCAGGTTGTATTGACATCACCAGGAATGGCCCTGCTGTGACACTGCAGTTTGATATTGCAAAGTTACCTCTTGAAATGCAGTCTCCATATCCAGAAGACGTGCAAGGTGTCGCATTACGCAAACATGGATACAATTGTATCAATAATTGGAGCATTGATCTGGTCCTCTGTGTAGAAGCTGGCCAGGTATTCAATCCGTACGACAGCTGGGCGTCCAGACAGCGCAAGTGGCCATCAAAAGATGAACAGAGTGAGCTTCTTGGTGTCCCCGCCCATTTGGTCGCTAAATCCATCGACTCAATCCCCCAAAGTTGGCGTTTATCTACATCAAGGGCTGAACTTCTCCTCGCAGAATCCATTAACAAACAGCAACCACTGGTACGGAACTGTTGGCTGGTGTTAAAAGCTGTTTTGAAAGCACACCTCTCTCAACCCAAATTCATCACCTCTTACAATCTAAAAACTATTCTATTCTACATAATGGATCGTGTGCCTGCAGATTACTGGACTAAAGAAAATCTCCCCGAGCTTCTGTTAGGTGTTATAGATGCAATCATCATTGGGTTGGGTTCACGTTCGTTCCCGCATTACTTTCTAACAAGTGTGAACTTACTGTCACAATCAGCTAGTGAGGACCATATAGCTGGCCTCTTACAGAAATGCTGTCAAGTGCGAGCCAAACCAGACAAGTACTTAGCCTCAACTCCAAATTTTGAGACGTATTTGACAGAACTTTTGTAACTTTGTCGCGGCAGTTGTGTAGACATCAAGCTACATCATAAGCGATAGCCCAGTTCCTAAACCCAGCTCGGCTACTGTTTCCTAACCCAGGTGGTTTAACCGCCTCCTAGTTAGCTCAGTTGGTTGGGCGCCAGACTGCCGAGCGGGAGGTCGCGGGTTCGATTCCCTGCCCGACCACCAACCAGGGTCTTTAAAAATAACTGGTAAGATCATGCTGACTGTGTTCAACACCTTGTCTCAGTTCAGATCATCACGTCATTGGGCGGTGACGTTAAGTCGTTGGCCTTGTCTCCTATGCCTTCTCTAGTAGGGGACGTTAAAGAACCCACATCACTGTTCTAAAAGAGTAGAGGACGTAGTCCCCGGTGTTGTGGTCTGGCCTGTTCACATGTATTCATGGGTTGGGTGGGTGGGGTGAGATCATGAATGGACTAATAGCGGCAGCATTCAAATGGCTCTTTTAGCAACTTGCGTCAGTGCACTTGCGAGTATAAAACTTGCCATTCTCGTTCTCAGATCCTCTGTTTCTTTTGGTCGCGTGGTTGGCGAAACGGAGGCTCTGGTCTCAGCCGTTACCGGATGTCCGAAAATTCCGGACATCCATTCATTAATTCGTGTTGCGCATTCGTTTTTTATCAGACAATGAAAACAATAAATTTTTCCTTGCGACCAGGGCTACTCGTTTCCGGCGCTAAGAAAAAAAACGAGGAGCTCTGGGAACGAGGATGAAAACTTTCGTGTCCGTTCGGCCACCCAACGCAATTTTGTACGCAAGTTCATATTTTAATACTTTATGTTTCGTCTTCTCTTCAGGGGGCTTATTATCGGAATTCGATATAAACGGTAATATTTGGCACAATCCAGTGGATACCAAATCTAGTTCTCACGCCGTACGTGATACAAGTGGCAGTGATATCATCGTTATCATAATTACGTCATACTGAACCACACGCCGGGGGATTGATAAGGAGCTCACGAGCATTTTCCGCGCACTCGGACGTCGATTTTATAAATGCGTTCATAGTTATGATCCATCAAGCTATTACCATATTGTTATAATACCATGAAAGAGTTTCACCTTGAACACGTTGAAGCGTCCTTGCTTGCATCAAAAACATCATCAAATTCAGAGATTGTAGAGTAGGTGGAAATAAATATACAGTGGAACCCCGATTTAACGAAGTGCCAGGGACTGGGGAAATTGGTTCGTTAAATCGGGGTTTCGTTAAATCGAGAACCCCGATATAACGAATTTGTTGAAAACTGACCAAAAACTTCGTTAAATCGGGGTATAGTTAATAATTAATTTGCCGTAATGTCAACTGATTAAAGACAAAGAAGATAAAGCCGATTAGATGGCCACGACAGTACTATTTCTAGCAACATGTATGACTGTAATGGACTGTTGACAACTTTCTTAGAGAATTAAAATATTTTACTGTAGTCGATTATTCATCTTCTGTGGCGTGATGACATTTATTCGTTATATCGGGGTAGATTTTACACTCGGGCTTCTAGATTGTGTTCGTTATATCGGGTATTTCGTTAAATCGGGGTTCGTTAAATCGGGGTTCTTTTCCATACATTTTATTGTAATTCTGGCCGGGCTGAATAAATTTGTGCGTTAAATCGGGGACTTCGTTAAATCGAGGTTCGTTAAATCGGGGTTCCACTGTATTCCTCAAATTTTCATGCGTTTTCACTTCGCAACCCTTTAGTTATGATTTTCACTTATTAGCATGTCGGAAAAGTATTTACACTGCAAAAAGTGCGAAAATATTGGTTTCTGTAACATTTCATATCATGTTGAGCCAGGCTGTCTCAAATTTCAAAACGCTTTATCTCCAAAACGAAGCACTCTGCTGACACAAACATTTTTCCAGCAATTAGCGACCCCGATGTGTAGAATATACTAAAAGAACAGCTTTGTAGGATCAATAGTTTTGAATTTAGAATTTTGATGACGTCACGTGAAAACGATCTGTAGGCTCCCTTGTGTCACTCACAAATATAACTCATAAATTCATGGCTTTGCATCTTTTTAGTGCTTGGCTTGAAAACCATTTAAAGAAAATCGTTTTATCAGCTCTTGCATGTGGTAATTTTACGTAATTATATTACTGACATCTCGGACGAAAGTTGAATGTTTTTTTCTCCCTAAAAAATTAGGGCTTTTGGTTTCACTATCAAAGATCAACATTCACAATGCGGGTATCTGGGGGTAATTTAATTTTCATGTAATTTTAGTTTCATCATCGTTTTGTGTTATTATACTCTGATTATATCCTTATTTGCAGAAGAGTAGTTTTTTCTTTGTGACCTTGCCCGCTACGAAAGATTGCAAGAGATATTGCAGATAGTAATCTATAGAACGTGTGGGATTTGTATGCAGAGACGACGATGTGGAAAGAAAATCCCATTGCCGGCGAAAGTAGTGCATAAAAATCAGAATCATCTAATAGAAAAAGTGTTTATTTTTATTTTCTGTTCCTAAAAGTTATTATTTAAAAAAAAAATTCTAACAATTATTGTCTTTGAATTATACCTGAGATTTTTATATCGATATTTTGCATTCTAAAATACTACAAGTTGTTGTCATTCGCGATTTTCCTTGGCAATTTGAAAAAATATATATAATTTCCCTTCCAAAATTAAGAGAAAATTAAAATTTCGAAAAACAAAATAATAGAAATTCACGTTCAGATTCAATTTTAACCATTGCTTATGTTATAAAAAGAGGATGTATTTAAAATTAGAACCCGGCATTCTATATGATGCAATATAATCGTTAAAATTTCAAAAAGTTTCAAATAATTTCAGTTAAAATTTGTTGTTTTTATTTAACAGTGGCTCAGAAACCAAAGCAAAGCAAATAACCCGAGGAGAGAAGAGATAAATCTTTCTCCCTCATGTGTAGATTCAAAACCTCAAAATCAAAACTATTCTGTCAAATAAACTTAGACAAGCTCTCACAATTGCTAAAAAAATTGCGACATGTTAATACATTTCAAATGCGTTAACAGTCTAAATAGATCGGGTTCACGATTTTTGAACCTTTTTCCTTTCAAGGAATTCTGCGTTAAGATTTTATCACCCAAGCTACATTATTCAATAGTCTTTCTATTAAATGAAGATAAATTCTGGCATAAAATATTCAGGGATACGGGCCGGCTAGTCAAAGAAATAATAAACTTTGAAGCGAAGTGGAGTACCGCACACATTCTACATCCACGCGACGTTTAAATAAAGTCCTGATTTTAAAGCTTTCTAGGATTTTTTTTATATGGAATACCTCCACAAAGCATCTATGATAAGCTATATCCACTTATTTATTGGCAAAAAGAGCCAGTTACATCCGCAGAATTGAACACATTTAATAACATTGAATTCAGTTCGCGCGTACCGTGATTAAAATTTAAAACAGCGATCCCTCCTTAAATGACAAACTTACTGACAGCCGGTCCGAACACAGCGCGGCATAGGAGAGTGTATTGATCATGAAAGCTCATTTGTCTTAGTTATAGATATGGATGTTTTAATTAGTAACTCAGTCTTGATTATAATGAAATTCATTTCTTCTGGGTTAGACGGGAAATCTCACCAGTATATTTATATGTATCGATTTAAAGGCGTTTTCCGAGCGCCAACACTAGTAAAGGATCTTTCGGATCGGCACAACTTCGTTTAAACAACTCTTACATGTTACGATCCTTTAATTACGGTATTTTAATTTTCTCTTACTTTTCAAGGGTTATTAAGCTTGTTTTCATTGGGCTGATTTCGCGGAAAGAAATCCATGAAGCTCGTCGAAAAAGTGTCAAGGAAAACACCTGGTGGAATAAAAATCAATTAGTGTATATTAACGTGCTATTATCTCATTGGATAATTCATAATTTCTAAACCCCTTCCAACCAATTCTTCTGTGCTCTATAGTTCAGCAACCAAAACAGTTCGGTTCTTGTTTTGCGGGAAGACTCGTATTGTGTTTTATTCTTCTTTCATGCAAATCAGCATGATTCAGAAACCGTGGAGCACCCGCAGCGGCGAACTAAAGTTTGTCCGCTTGTAATTACTCAATTCACTGTTCTCTTTCTTTACGGCGCCACCCAGTGTTCATGTTGCAAAGACGCGATGGGTTTGCGATGCGACCTGAGCATTTTACTGGTTTTCCTATGCACCCTCGCCTCGACGAACACATACGCCGTTCAAGTTCGACTCCACGGTGAAGAATGTATCACCTACGAGCTGCAAAAAGCCGTGAATCCTCCGCGACGAACAGTGATCAAGCTACGATTTCGCACCATTCACCCAAACGGCCTTCTCATGTACAGTAGAGGGAAGAATGGCAAAGACGACTTCCTTCAACTCGATATCTTCCATGGACAAGTGCGGTGGGTTTGTTGTTATTTTTAACAAGTTGAAGTGAATGGGAGTGTTTTGTGAAATTGTAAACAGTTAGTAGTATATAGACGTAACTTTCTTCCTGTACGGAAAGCAAACAAAGCGAAACTGGGAAGGATTTCATTTTTACGTTAATTACAACTTGATAGATCCATGATTTGAGGTGCTTAATTCTTTGGACGCATTTTGCTTTTTCGTAGTTATGGAAAGAAAAAGTTACAGCGTTCAGTAAAATGAAGCGTTAGTATTCTAAATTTCTAAATATCTGGATTGGAAACTCAACTTTCCCATGCTGCGAAAGTTAACTCATTTCAGGCTTCATTTCAAGCATTCTGAGGAGTGTACTATTTTGCGTGCAAAGTTCCTATAACAAGGGAAGCCAGTGAAACAAAGCGATATTTATATTTACTGTTAAAAATAGACTAACAATGTAACTCGTTTTAAGCAACAAAATTTATTTTTAGAAAATGTATGGATTTGAAAAAAAATGCTAAATCTGAAATTATGTATTTTTGGTTCAAGAGAGTATTAAAAATCTTGTTTTAAATTTCAAAATCTTGTTATCATGGTTATCAATGCAAAATTCGTGGGTTTTACGATCAAGATATGTTTACAATGATTTCACTTTTTCGGTCAAGTGCTGTCTTGTGTAATTACAAATATTTTGCTGTAACCACCATCTAAGGAAAAGTATTATAATACAATTAGCGGGAATTCTGTCGAAATTAAAAATACTATTCTTTCCAACTGTGGAGGAAGTCGTTGGAACCAGACAC